TTCATGACTCCGAAGATGATGAGAGCTATGAAGATGATGAGGAGAGCGAATCTGATGGTGGTGACGAGGAAGCTGCTTACAATGGTAGCGGAGGTAAATAATGTTTCAAATCTTCGTACATATGGAAATCAAATAAATTGATTGAACTTGAGATATTGCTTATCCCAGTGGGTTCTTACCCCTCTAGTCCCATTTATTCCCATTTCATATAGATAGTGTGACATTTAGACATCGTGTGATCCTAATTCTGTTTGTCCTCCATTACTTAGTGGAAGATATAGAGATAAACCCGATCATCCCAACTATCCTTGGTTAGCTTTTGGTATGGAATTGCAACCTAATCATCAATAACTCATTTTCATTTCTTTTATCAAGTCCTATTGTTTTATGACTTCTATTTACTTTATTATTGCTGAATGTCTTCATGGAGCGATGAACAGGATAGGACACATTGATCCTATTATTTATTTGTTTCTTCTCCTCATGTTTTGTTAAGTAAAATACGGTTTATCAAAAAAGAAAGGGATGTAGTCGTTAAAAGGCAAGGGAATCAAGTCTTAAGGGGCCAAGGCAGGACACTGAATACATAATAAAATATTTTTAAAGAGCAAAAAGTGAAAAACGAGAGAGTAGAAACAACAAAAAAAAAACAGAAACTGCTGTTTCAGAGGCTATAATGTGTTACAGCGCAAAAAAAAGAAGCTAAAAGAGCCGGTGGGTTCAGAAAATGCGGACAAAAAACACACACTAAGGATAAAGATAAGACAGCTGAGCCTTTGCTTACTCATCTCCTTGGCCCTCATCCTTCACCAGTTTGATCATGTCGTCAATTCGCAGAATTGTTATGGCTGCCTCTGTTGCAAACTGGTCACAAAACAAAGCTCCTTTAGAATTCAAGACATCACCTGATGTTATAAAAAAATCAAGTTCATGTGAGAAAAACAAGTTCAAGTGCTTCACCTGGATAATTTTCACTTTGCTCATAGCCGGTTCGATCACTCCAGCTTCCAAATTGTTACGGACGATACCATTTACGAGGTCAAGTCCCATGCTGCATTTGCGTTTATCCCAACATAAAGCCGATGAGAACACAACATTCTCAAACGAAACCTCAAGGGGAAAAATACACACAAACAGTAATATTGCTAATTACCTTGAATAGTGCTTCTTATCAGCCTTGGTTTGTGCGGTGTGGTGGTATGCTCTTAGTTTAGCTACCAACTCGGTTGCATCCTTAGCAGCATTTACTGCAAGCACCTGAGAATATGATGAAAATCGTTGGATAATAAGACGAGAACAAAAAACAGACTTTTTTTTAATGATGAAATAAGGATTGTAGGTCGCACCTTTGGAATAATCAATAGCGCATCCGCAAATTCAGCAATTGCTAATTGTTCGCGAGAGCCCAATGTTGTAGCAAGGTGCTCCAGATACACAGACAATGCTGATTCAACTGCACCTCCACCTGCGACCACCTGTTTGACAAGAAACAGAGTGTCTTAATCCAGAAATCTGATATTCATTGTTCATTACCAAATGCAAGGAGAGTCTCTAACAAGCAGCAAAAGGATGTTACCGTGTTGGACTCGAGGGTCCTCTTGACAATACATAAAGCGTCGTGCAGTGCTCTCTCCATCTCATCAAGCATGTAGTCATTTGCACCTCTTAAGATCAAGGAGACCTAACAGACAAAAAGCTCATGACGTCATGACAAAGATAGACCAAACGCTGTGTGATAACCTTAAAAAACTTTCGGGAACAACTTCAATCGATATATTTAAGACTGATTTCTATAATATAGAAGTGTCAACAATTAAGCATGCCGAGAGTAGATGACATACCGCACTGCTCGTTTTCGTTCCTTTTATCAATACAACATCATCATCTGCGATTCTCTCCTCCACAACCTCATCTGCGGATCCAAGGTGTGCCGGATCAAATGTTTCTTCGCCCTCCATGTCAGCAAAAGTGGTGACCTAAAACAAATAACAAAGATATTAGTTAAATTTAGTTTGGCAACTTGGTTTTCCTGCATTTAGTATTAAAAAAGCATAGCTGATGAAGCACCAGGGTTGCTCCTGTTGCCTTGGCAACATGGCGCATGTCTTCTTTTCGCACACGCCTAACAGCAATAGCTCCTGCCTCTACAAAGTACTGAATTAAAAGCAAAAGAAATGAGAGTCCACAGATACTCGAATACTATACAAACTGATGTGTGCCAGGAAAGAGAGAGAAATTTTGGTGTTCAATCTCACTTTAAGCGCCATGTCGTCAATCCCCTTCGTGGTCAGAATCACATTGGCCCCAGCTTTAAGAAGTTTCTCTATCCGCTCTTTTGTCATGTCAGCTTCTCTGTAACAACAAATATTCAGAAACATACAAAAATCTGTATGAAACATGGATAACATCAGCAGTACAAGTGTACAATAGAGCCAGATATCTTAAGCTCTCTCTATCTCATACACCCCGTGGAGAAATGCAAATTTAAATGTCAAGAGAACAAATCGATCCACATTTGTAACAAGTACTCAGAATAAAAGAAACTGAGGGAAAAATGTACAACTGAGAAAATTACCTTTGACGGATCTTTTCAAGTTCTCGTGGATCGTTAACAACAACCTGGACACCTAGCTGCATTTTTGTCTTCTGCAGATTGAAGTCAAGGCAAGCAATCTTTGCTGGAGACACTCGTAATGGCATCCCTTGGGCAGCACGACCAGTATTGAGTGCATATCCATTCAACAAATAGCTGTCTTTTGCACTTTGTCCATGAGCTTTCAGAATATTGATGCCCTAAAACGTGGTAAGCAGATGTGTTTAAGCATAAAAATATCATCCTCACTCCAGACCTAATGTTTGAAACTTTGTCTGAGGACCATAAACAGACCTTAATAGGGTATTTTATCTCCCCCCGCTGATTTGTCATTTTTACTGACAGAACGGCTTCCACAACCTTCAAGAAAAATGTGATTATAACACGTCAGCCAGACGAATATTCAGAGTATTATTTCAAGAGAATATCAATGGATCCCAGACCTAATAGAAAAAGCTAGAAGGACTTAAAGTAGATATACGAATTATTAACAAAAATTTGTACCACTAGTGGTTTAATAACTAATGCTCTTTACTTCCAAGTGATTGCCAAGTAAGGAGATCAGGAAGCATACCAAATTGGCAAAGAAGTCGCTGTCACCCGAAATCAGTTTGGAGGACATGCTGGTTTTAGCACAGTTTATCAATGGAACTTTCCCAAGCTTTTCAACCTATAGAACGCAAAAAATAAGTAAATAACTGAAAGGGGAGAGACAGCCACTATGGAGAACTTACCCAATTATACTGACACAAAAATTTGTATACAGAGAGGGCCATATAGAATTGACCACATAAATCAATTTTTTCTCAAATGGTGTATATTCATTCAGAAAGAAGATGCTCAGAGGCGAAAATAGAGACCACCACAACAGTACTAACCTTGGTCACCAACTTCTCTTCTATGTATTTGCACGCTTCTCTCATTGCTAGCTGTCAACAGTAACAGAGATTATGAACACACTGGAAACACTTCTGTAATGCAAGGTCACTATATAAGAAACCATAGATCGCAACTTACCCTGTATCCACTGATTATTGATGTCGGATGTATTTTGTTCCTGACCAAATCATTCGCCCTCTGCAAATATATGCACAAGACCATTAATCATCAAGCAATTAACATGCGAAAAATATCCATAACTCTAGAAAAACAAAAACCATAGACAAAAGTACCTTCAGTAACTCAGCAGCTACAATAACAACAGATGTAGTTCCATCACCAACTTCTCTATCCTGGAGTTCAGCTAATTCGACAAGAACCTACCACAGCAAAATGCAGACAAACAGAGATCAGGGTAACTAATAATTCATATAACACACGCATAAACGATGATAAGTATGTATCAATTACCTTAGCAGCTGGGTGTTCGACCTCCAGCATCCTAAGAATAGTAGCACCGTCATTTGTAATGGTCACATCACCAATATCATCTACCAACATCTGAAAAAACAAGCCAACACAGCATGAAGCAAGATTGACCGAACTCGGCACGAGAATAAAGCAAGTTCCCATCAAGTAGATTAAGAATAAAACAAGAAAATGCTGCCGAGATACATACTGATCTAAGAAACAAAAACAGAGTCTAGCAGAATCTATAGAACTCCGATGCAAATCGAAAACCAATAAATCTCAAACAGTCGTAAAGTATTCGAATCAAATGTGCATACCTTGTCGAGTCCGACGGGACCAAGTGAGGTTTTAACAATATTTGCAACAGCTTGGCAAGCCATCACTGTAAACAGATTCATCAAATACGAGTTACATACCAGTACATGTCAAAACAAAAACAAGGAAAAAAAACCCTAGAGATCGAACACCAAAGTTCGGATGAAAACAAAGAGAATAGATTCGTATGAAGAGAAATGGGGAAATGCAAAGAGACGAAATAAGAAAGTGAGGGAGAGAAGAAGAGTACCGTTCTGAGTACGAACATCTTGCCCAGATTGCCTATCGCCGGAAATATCCGGATTTTGAGCGGAGATCGACATATCCGTTTAGTTGATTAACACTATGGAGAAGAGAAAAGCAGTAAGATCAGAGATCTGAGCTCGCGAGAGAAGTGCAGTGAGAGATTGTTCAACTTTTTAAACACTGAACAATGGAAAATGCTTCTCTAACCTTTGGGAGAGTGAGACTCCGGCGGGTTTTTAACTTTCAAGGTTTCATGGATGTACGATCAGGGTATGAACAAAGCGGCGTCGTTTCATAAGTTAGGCCCAAAAGACGATACATCCTAAGGCCCATTTGTTTATATTTAGGTCAAACATCAACTAATGGGCTTTGAGGAAGGTTCAGATATTTCTTCCTCTTCAAATCACTGTTACTTTTATTTCTAATGATTGGAACAAAGAGTTTTTGATCTGCTTTGTATGCAAGATATTGGTTTTGGTAGCGAGGAGGGAAGATTTGTGATAGTAGAATTTTTTAATTGCTAATAATATTGGCTCAAATTGAGTGAGATTACAAAGTAAAAGAGACATGATACAATGCAGCAACTATTTCTTCTGGAAAATCATACTATGGCTGATCCATTCAGGGGAGATTTAATCAGTTACATAGGCGTTTGAGAATCATGCGTTCAAAGGCTTGTAGAGCTTCTTAACCATCTTCCTATACTCTGTACAGCAGCAAACCAAAGACAGACATTAGAAGAACATTCATTATTAAATAAAAAAAAAGGAGAAACCCAGAGATGTGTAGTCTGATTACTGCTATTTTAAAATTACCTTCTTGGTTGCTCCAAAGCTGAGCTGCTTGATTGTTCAATGGTGAGCTGATGTTCGGTTCTGATCAACCAAAGACAATAAGAAACAGGAAAGTCAGATATCCGATCAAACTAACAGAGAGATTCATAAGAAAACTCAATAATTACCTCCGAGAAGGCTTTGAATTGAGAGTAATATCGTCCTCACATCGTAAGCGGATGACCATTTATCCTACAAAGAATGTGAAAAAGATCATGTTTTTAAGTACTGCTTCTCTGATATAAGGTAGCATTAACCGTAGCAAACAGATAGAGAAGCAAACGAATGTTTTGTACCTGAAGAATGTCCAAGCAAATATTGCCATAGAGATCCACATTGGGATGGAAGCAGCATGTCTCAAACTTAACCTTGGGAGGTTTGAAAGGATAATCGTTAGAGAAAGAGAGTGAAAGCCTGTACTCAGTTCCTTCAAACACAGTATCTTTGCTTCCTGTGATTGTTCCTTTCCAGCAGAAAATGTTGTCTTCCTCTGGGAAAGCCGATATCCCCGGATCACCTCCCATCTGATAAACATGAGCGTTGGATTAGATAAGTGTTCAGCTTATATATCAATAGGTCCACTTTTGAATCTTTTCTTTACATAGGAAATGAAAAAGTAGCTCACCATCAAGCCCATTAGTTCAGATTGCAGCCTGTGTTTAAGGACAAACAATGCATTAGTAAACTCCTGAATTTGCTTAACTAAAGAGGAAAAGAAAAAAGGAATCAAAGCTTGAGCAAAGAAAGAGTAGATAAAAGTTACTGAGATCTGATTAAGAATCAACATGAGGAAAACCATCGTGCAATGTTATGTGTACAGATGAATGCATCGTTTTCTAGCAAAAAGTTTGGTAGACAAGGAGAAAAACCATAAAATCCAGAAGAGAACAAGACAAGTCACAATCAGTTTGGGATCTGTCGTTTCCTTTTAAAGAAATGATGTGTATAAACATGTCGACCACAAGGAATGGATTATGCGTATAGAGCCATATGCTAATCTAATCTACCTAAAGAAACATGAAATCTATCAACAAAGAGAAATCAAATCGAAGGCTAAAAGAAATTCATTTAATCGGAGGCGAAATACCCTAAGATCGGGAAAAAGGTAGAAAAGAAAGAACCTTTTGAGAACGGATTGGCTATCGACGGTCTTAGACGGAGGAGCAGGTTGCTTCGATCCGGTGGCTGCCGGCGTTGTCTCCGCCGGAGTATTTCCTTGGTACCCATTTACCGCCGCCATCCCTTTTGGGCTTCAAAATTGACAGACCAATAACACGACAGTCGAAATTTCTGAAATTGAAATGCTTTCGCTCAAAGTAGAAGAAGAGAGAGAGATAAAGAACGTTCTACTTCTCTTCTTCCGGAGAGAGAGAGAGAGAGACGTGGGTCTGGATTATAAAACGTGTACAAGAGAAGAAACGACGTCGCTCTGAAAGCAATAACCCAAAAAGGAATAACCTAAATTTTTGGTGCATTTGAAATGAAATTCACCTACTTATGTAACGGCTAGTTGCTTTCTCCAATGATCGATCAATATTGTTTTCAAAAAATCATGAAAGAGGAAACGTAACAAGTAACTTGTCTTGTGATAAGAAAGGAAATCCAGGACATTTCCGTTCTACATGTGGATTGTTGTTAGAAAGAATGTGAATTGGAATTTTTTTATTGATTAGAAGTTTGGACTAATTGATGTTATCATGTTCTGTAAGATCAATGAATATTCACATCACAAAAGGCCAAAACAGATACATTCTTTTGATAACATTTTTTCCATATCATTTTCCACAAAAAAAGAGATCTATATAATAGTCTCTCGATCTCCAAGATCCTGACGCTTCATCCGGTTTGGAAATTACTGGAAACAAATTGTGATGATGCCTATATATACTGGCTATTAAAGTGTTCAATCACACAAAATGCACAATAGATCAAAGAGTGTGGAAGAGCGAAGGACAAATCAATGCCAGAGTTAAAGAGAGAGAGACACTTCTATAGATACATGATAACCTCGCTAACTATTTTACCCGATTGAGAAACATCAAACTAAGAAGCCCCATCAAAGATGACGACGCAAGATAAGGGAAGGAGACGTACACATCGATCATCTTTGAAGCTTAACGACTCGAGAGACTCTTTCGAAGAAGACAGGACACATACTTGTGCTGAACTTTATCACGTGTCTCATCCATTTCGGCGCCACTCTTTCGTATGTCCCCAACGATACAACCTTGTAGAGCAGCTCAGATTCTTCACCAGTTGAGTTATTTACCCAAGTTAAGCTGAATGATAAACCTGTTATGGTCAAAAGTCATGGAAAAAGATTCAAAATCAGAGCTTTTCTGGTGGCCGATGATCTAAAAACTGTTAGTTGGACCATCTTTCAAATTATAGTAAATGATAGGAAAAAGAATGTTTTTACTCGAAAACGACCCGGAGAAACATACAGTGACATAACTTTATGCCAAAAGAAATTACCGCTTGATGGATGCAAGGCTATAATACAGGCTCGTTCTTCTTCGTTATTAATTGATAATTTCATTCCTAGCAAGTGTTCGCTAAGAGCTTGAAATGTACGACCAGCAGAATTAATTGATCCATCGTCGGTTGTTTTGGAGCATTGTGGTTGAGAAACCAAGAGAGTTTCCTTGAAACAAAAAGCAACAAAGAGTATTAGTAAAAAAGGTTTGATGACTCACTGGGTGTGTGTGTGTGTGTGTGTGTGAGAAGGAAAGATGCGCAACATCCAGCTCAGAACTGAAAGGATGCAAGGTAGTTTTTTATACCGTAGATTTATGACGTATGCTACTTCGAGGTGATACCATGTCTGTTTCTACCATATCTTCTGATTGTCTGCTACGTTTTCTCATGCTTCTCGTAGTAACTTGAGAAGATTCGGGAGTCTTTCTCTCTTGTTTTCTTCCACTTTGATCTCTCTTGGAGTTGTGAGGATCTCCCTCTTGGATCAGCTCTTTTAGCTTGCCAACTTCTTCGGAAAGTGCCCTGACTGTAAACATCTCATATAATTAGTAAAAGGACAAACCAACTTGATGCAGAAAACAAGAAAGGCTCAAGAACACTCTCCAATTCCAGTTCATTATTCCTAGAAACAACTATCGTCAATAACATTCCATGATATGCAAGTAGAGGAGCAACAATCATTAGAATTGCTTCTTACTCTTTTGTTCTTCTTCGGCAAGACACTTCTGATACTCCAGACGCTCCTCTTCCCAGGTGGATCTGTGGAATAAGATTGCTATGGTTACATTCACAAGGCTACAACTTCTTCAAACACAACCAGCTCCATAAGCATGTCAGGGAAGATTAAGATACTAATATGGGGTACATGCCTGATTGAAGCTATCTCATTCATCAAATTCTCCACGAGACCCTGCAAATTCTTGTTTTCACTTTTCAAATGCTGCGTTAGGTCTTCTGAGGCTGCAAAAGCACAAAAGTGAGAAAGACAGACTAAGAACGTCTTCAAACACTTGAAAGTCTCCAATTTTGTAGGCAATAAACAACAAAAGAAGAAACCCAATTTTTCTATAATTCCAAATTGAAACTATTCCAGAGTTTGTGCACTTGATTTTGGGCAGTTTAGGATTCATAGTCGCATCGATGCTTTACTGCCTAACCAAAATGTGCATTGTAATTTGCAATCTAGCCTAACTACACATCTGATGAGATTTAAACTTCAAGCACGGAGCAAAAGTAAGAGCTTTTCCGAAAACGATAGTTCGAAATTTTGGGTTACCTGAAACAAAGTTGAGGAACTTCTCTTCTTGTTCCCTATTAACCTCATCGATTTCGGAAAATTTACTCTTCTGGAGAAAAATGAAGAGATCGAAATGAGAGCAGTCAAATCGAAACCCAGAAACGCAAAATACGAAATAACCCAGAAATTAAAATGAAAATATAAACGGAAGATCAAACCTTGAGTTTGGTGTATTTGTCGTAGAGCTTGGCGTAGAGAGCTTCCATCTCTGCGACTGAAGAATCAAATTAATTGAGACGCGACCCCGAAAAGAAGCAAAATCCAAGGATTAGAAGAAAAAGCTCACACAGTTCGATTCGAGAGAGCAGTAAGTTTATGAGGGACGAAACTGAAATTTTTTAGGCTTCCTAGGGGCAATTCGGGGTTTTTCCAAAAAAAGAAAAACAATATTTCAATCCATTTTGAAATTAGAGTACTTCAATTTTGCTGGAAAAAAAAACCTAATTACTTCACTTGATCCCATCGGAAAAGCTATGGTCGCCGGCGCCGGGAAATCGTCCGCCACCAAGAACTCCGGAAACTCGCCTGCGCTGATTTCAACCGTCGTGAATTCCAAAAAACGAAAATCCGACAGAAACCCAACAAATGTACCAGTTCGTCTGAATGAGCCACTGTTTCGCCGTCTCTCTGCCGCCGCCGCCGTGACACGCTCCTTTCTCGAAACCAACGATCTCTTCCTCCCTCCATCTCAATCTCTCCGCCTCGAATCACTCCTCTCATCTCTCCCAATCGCTCCTCCTTCACCTTCCACCTCCGCTTCCACGTGGTTCCACCGCTTCTTAATCTCCGCCGTCGAAGACGACGATCCTCGCTGGTATCTTTGTTTCCGAATGTCGAAATCCACTTTCCTCCATCTACTCTCCATCCTTTCACCTTCCGATTCTCCTCCGTCGCTTCCTTCATCCTCCCTCGCCGCTGCAATCTTCCGTCTCGCTCACAACGCTTCCTACAAATCTCTCGTTCTCCGATTCGGGTTCGACTCCATCCCCGACGCTTCCCGCGCTTTCTTCACCGTCTGTAAGCTCATCAGTGAGAAGTTAGGGAAAATCGATGATCCCAAACCTGATTTTTCGCCTCGATTGCTCCCGAATTGCTGCGGTGTGTTGGGTTTCGGGAGATTCGAGGTAGATGGGAAGCTTCTTGGGTCAAAAGGGTCAGTGATTGTTCAAGCATTGGTTGATTCCAGTGGCAGATTCTCAGATATCTCTGCTGGGTGGCCAAGCACGATGAAACCAGAAGCCATTTTCCGGCAAACGAAGCTTTTCTCGATTGCAGAAGAAACGGAATCGGAATCTGGAAGCTTTTTGAATGGATCTCCGTGCAAACTTGTGAACGGAATATCGGTGCCTCCTTACGTTCTTGGAGATTCTTGTCTTCCGCTATTGCCATGGCTTGTGATTCCTTATAATTCAAACGAGGAAGAAGACAGCTTAGAATCGTCTCGTGCTGAATTCAACAATGTGGTTCACACTGCATTGCGTAATGTTGAGATTGCATTTGCTAAAGTTCGAGCTCGGTGGCAGATTCTTGATAGGAAATGGAAGCCAGAGACAATCGAGTTTCTGCCTTTTGTCGTTACTACGGGCTGCTTGTTGCATAACTTTCTTGTGGATTCTGGAGATGATGATTTGCCGGAGGATTGGGTGAATGGTGTTGCTGGTGATAATGGTGAGATGAGTAAAGATGAAGAAGGTGAGGAGGAGATGAGGCGGTTTGAAGGAGAAGCCTTTACTGGGTCAAGGAGGATCAGAAATGCTATTGCAGAGAACCTGAGCCACGTGATTCAACTAAGATAAACTGAAAAGTAACAAGCTTTTATTTGTTTTAGCCCGATCTTGTAGATTGTGTATCCGTTTATGGATTAGAAGAAGAACTAGAGAATTTGTTGTCACAGTCTGGGACCTAGGGTTGATAGATTGTCAATGTTGATGGTTTATTAAATAGGACGAAGGTTATAAGCTTTCTTTGTTTTAGCCTGATCTGATTCTGCTGTTTTTCGTGTACATATGTTTCGGTATGTAGTTTACGGCTTAGAAGGTGAGCAATAGATTGTGTTTTGTCAAAGTTTGGGATCTCGGTTAATAGACAGTGTATGTTAAGGGTTTAATAATGGGACTAAGGTTATAGGTTATTGGAACCTTTCTATGAACAAAAAGAAAAAGAAACCTAGTTACTTAATTGGTTAACACCTTAAGCAAAGAACACTAATTGGTATTCACTAAATTATGGGATACAATTATATTAAGATTTGAGGACAACTAAAATCTTGGATCTCTCTACTTCATCACTTTCAACAGTCTTACCATACCTTATTATGAACGATCAGCAATTGTTTAAAGCTATACATATGTTTGGTGAAACTATTGTATGTATACGAAAAGACAATGAAGAAGAAGAAGATGTGGAAGTAGGGAAATAGTTTTGCATATTATTGAAGTTAAAGAAACCGGTTCTTTGAAGATGCAGCCTCACAAAAGAGACGAGGAGGAAAACCAATCAAACCAATTCAAAAAGTTCGGCAAATGCGATGGATGGCAGTTGGAGGACGAGGACAGGACTGGACGAGGATGTCATGGTGATTTCTCTACCTAAGCCATTAATTCAGTATTTTTTTATATAATAATTATTTTACTTCTCTGTTTCACTTGAGAGGGTGTATCTCCTTTTTTTTCCAGGTTTCTTACAAAGACTCCATTTTCCAAAAAGACCTAAGCAGGATGAGATGGTTTCATCAGAGGATTAAGCAGCTCATCTACTGCAGCGGCATCTAAGCAAAACACATCGTTGGAGACCATAACTTCATGACATATTCGTTGAAAGCTGTCAATCAGCTCGGTGAATAGTAACACTGCGTAAGCTTTCTTCTTCTCTTGCTAGCTTGGATTATCCCAAGTGTGTTTCTTGATATTTGGTTTTTGCAACTTTTTCTCCCCCAGGAGCATTTTTCATAGAAGCTTTGAGGTATGATTGCACCTGTGATTAAAATATTTGGTTCAATGCTCATAAGATCCACGTGGAACCTCAGTTGTCACCGTGGAGGTTAAAGATTCTTTATTCAGCTATCGAATGCTTCTTATGATCACAAGTGTCCCAAGGAACTTCTGATCCTAACATATTTTATTACATAAAAACACTTCATTTGCAGTATTTACGTTTCTTTGTACAAGAGGATACTCTGTTTCATAATGCCTCTTCACTTTGAGTCTTTGAGCAACAATGGCAGTGATGACCACTGTTAACTTTCAAAACTGTTTCATCTTAATCATCATATGCCTCTTTTCACTCATCTGTTACTCCCGCTTCTTCAAGAAACCAAAGAATGGATTCGATTAGCCTCCGAGCCCTCCTTCTCTTCCCATCATCGGTCATCTTCACCTTCTTCTCTCTCCTCTAACCCACAAGTCCTTACAGAAACTTTCCTTCAAGTATGGGCCTCTCCTCCATCTTAGCATCTTCAGTTTTCCAGTACTCTTTGTTTCCTCTGCTTCAGTGGCCTACGATATCTTCAGGCTGCACGATGCCAACATCTCCTTTCGTGGAAATCCCCCGATTGATGAGTCCCTCTTGGTTGGTTCTTCTGGATTTTTCACCGCTCCTTATGGAGATTATTGGAAGTTCATGAAGAAGCTTATGTTCACGAAGCTGCTAGGACCGCAGGCACTCGAGCGGTCACGAGGCATCCGTGCAGATGAGCTAGAACGGTTTTACATGAGCCTGCTCGATAAGGCAACGAAGAATGAGAGCGTTGAGATTAGTAAAGAAGCAATGAAGCTCACGAACAACATCATCTGCAAGATGATCATGGGAAGGAGTTGTTATGAGGAGAATGGTGAGGCGGAGAGAGTCAGGGACATGGTGACCGAGTCGACTGCCTTGACAATGAAGATTTTTGTGGCAAACTTGTTGCATAGGCCCCTTAAGAAGCTCGCAATCTCACTGTTCAACAATGAGATAATGGGTGTTTCTTGCGGATTCGACGGGTGCTGGAGAGGATTCTTGAGGAACACGAAGAGAAACTGAGCAAATATCAAGATACGGATTTGATGGACGAGTTGTTGGTAGCTCACCGAGACGAAAACGCAGAGTATAAGTTCAGTAGGAACCACATCAAGTCCTTGTTTGTGGTAAATGTTTTGACTCATTTCGTCTAGAATCCAAAAGGAACACTATTAAGTTCTGTCTGAGAAACTTTTGCTATTTGCAGGATCTTTTCATTGCAGGCACTGACACTTCAAGACATGCAACACAGTGGACAATGGCAGAGATCAATAACAACCCTAACGTTCTTGATAAACTGAGAGAAGAAATCGATTCTGTTGTTGGGAAAACAAGGTTGGTTCAAGAAACGGATCTACCAAACCTCCCTTATTTGCAAGCGATTGTTAAGGAAGGACTGAGATTGCATCCTCCAGGAGCTCTCTTTACAAGAACCTCCCGAGAAGGGTGTAGGATCAAAGGATTTTATGTACCGGAGAACACGCCACTTGTTGTTAATGCTTACGCTGTGATGAGAGACCCTGATTCTTGGGAAGATCCTAATGAGTTTAAGCCAGAGAGGTTTCTAGCTTCTTCAAGATCAGGAATAGAAGACGAGAGAGACCACACACTTAAGTACATTCCTTTTGGCAGCGGGAGGAGAGGCTGTCCTGGATCAAATCTAGCTTATATATTTGTAGGGATCGCAATAGGAGTGATGGTGCAGTGCTTTGACTGGAAAATCAAAGGAGATAAGGTTAACATGGAAGAAGCTCCAAGAGCACTGGTCTTGACTATGGCTCATCCCCTTCAGTGCATTCCTGTTGCTCGAACCCCACAATTTTTAACTTTGAATCTGCAGAATCCTAGTTCCGGACTTGGAGATGTCACATGCACCTGTTAATACATAAATATTTTATAATCAGTGTGGAATCTTGGTCGTTGCCTTGGGCGGTGTTTGCATGTCATACTTGCTTGAAACCTAGTTGTCTTGATCCTCCAAGGAATTCTAGTTTGTTAGATCCTAAGGATGGTGTATGTGACTTTGAATCTTTCGTTTTTATATAGGGTTTATGGATTATTCTGTTGATGGAGTGAAAGAGAAAAGAAGGAGATTTCTGCTTTGATTTAACATTTAAGTTATCAGAAACTGCGAATCATTTATGTATTAAACTAGCTAGAAAGGTTTTAGGTGGTCTTTGGTGGTGATCACTATGAGCTTGTTCTAATAGTTAGTTAAGTAGAGATTAGCTAACTCATGAGTCTTATTGGTAATCAATACGCAGGTGTAGTTTCCTTGATCTGAGTGTAGATAATAAATTACTAACATAAAAAAAAGATTATAGCTGTCCAACTATTTCACGTTCTTCTAAAAAGAAAGCATTATTCTAAGTAATAAAGTAAGAAACAAAGCATGGTTGGTCATACTTTATATGAGCAGATTCTTGATAATGTTCTTCTTCACATTGAGAGATAATGGCAGCAATAATCAGCGTTGACTTTCAGCAAACTTTCATCCTCATCCTCCTATGCTTCTTCTCACTCCTCTGTTACTCTCTCTTCTTCAAGAAACCAAAGGACTCACAAGGTTGTGATCTACCTCCAAGTCCTCCTTCCCTCCCGCTAATCGGTCATCTTCACCATCTCCTCTCTACTCTGACCCACAAGTCTCTTCAGAAACTCTCCACCAAGTATGGACCTCTCCTCCATATCAAGATCTTCAATGTCCCCATCATTCTCGTTTCCTCTGCCTCAATGGCCCACGAGATCTTCAGGTCCCAAGACGTGAACGTTTCCTCTCGCGGTGTTTCTGCGATCGATGAGTCCCTCGTGTTTGGATCTTTTGGCGTCATCAACGCTCCCTATGGAGATTACTGGAAGTTCATCAAGAAGCTCATGGCCACTAAGCTTCTCCGACCACAGTCGCTCGAGAGGTCACGAGGTATCCGTGCTCAAGAGCTACATCGGTTTTACAGCAGAGTTCTTGATAAGGCGAGGAAGACGGAGAGCGTTGAGATCAGTAAGGAAATGATGAAGCTTACGAACATCACCTTGTGCAGGATGAGTATGGGAAGGAGTTTTTCTGAGGAGAATGGTGAGGCAGAGAAAGTCAGGGGCTTGGTTGATGAAACATATGCCTTTACCAAGAAGATGTTCTTGGCTGCTATACTGCGCAGACCACTTGAGAAGCTCCGGATCCCACTTTTCAAGAAGGATATAATGAGTGTTTCCAACAGATTCGATGAGCTGCTTGAGAGGATTCTTGTGGAACACAAGGAGAATCTGCGTGACGAGGAGCATCAAGGTACTGATATGATGGATGTTTTGTTGGCTGCTTATGAAGACAAAAACGCAGAGTATAAGATCACTAGGAATCATATCAAATCCTTCTTCGTGGTAAATGCTCCCACTCATTATATATCGTCCATTTGTATCAAAACGAAAAATTACTTTATAAATGTTTTGAGTCTTGCTCATTGCAGGAGCTTTTCGTTGGAGGCAGTGATACGTCGGTGCAAACAACACAGTGGGCAATGGCTGAGATCATTAACAACGCTAAAGTTCTTGAGAGACTGAGAGAAGAAATCGATTCGGTTGTAGGGAAATCAAGATTGATTCAAGAAACAGATATACCAAACCTTCCTTATTTGCAAGCGGTGATCAAAGAAGCACTGAGATTGCATCCACCATCGCCTCTCGTGGTAAGGACGTTCCAAGAAAGATGTGAGATCAAAGGGTTTCACATACCGGAGAAGACAATACTGGTTATTAACGCTTATGCTGTGATGAGAGACGCTGATTCTTGGGAAGATCCTGACGAGTTTAAGCCAGAGAGGTTTCTTCTGAGTACATCATCTTCAAGATCAGGGAAAGAAGAGGAGAAAGAGCAAACACTCAAGTATATTCCTTTTGGTAGTGGAAGGAGAGGATGTCCTGGAGTAAATCTAGCTTATATATTTGTAGGAACTGCTATAGGAGTGATGGTGCAGTGTTTTGACTGGAGAATTAGTGGAGATAAAGTCAACATGGAAGAGACTTTTAAAGGTATGAATCTGACCATGGTTCATCCACTCAAGTGCACTCCAGTTCCTCGAACATTGTCTTTTTCTTTTACTTCCAGTTCCTGATTCTCAGCTTGGGAACATGTAACAATAAGTTTGCTTTCTTATGTTCTATACATCTTCTTCTTCAAAGACGTTTAGTTACATTTGTTGTCTTCATGTTTATTGTATTGAAAGTCTAACATTCAGATAAAAGAAAGCTAAAAGCATCATCATTCTAGCTTATCTATATAGAGACTTATAGATATCTGGGTTTTTTCTTTTACATAAAAATTTAATTTAGGAAGAGTCTTGAAAATAGTATATACCTGAAAAAAAAAACAAACTTTATATTTCACTAGTTCACCTCTTTTTCAAATTGAAAAGTTTAGAACTTCAAATTATCTTAATCAATCAAAGGATTTAACTTTATCCACTCCTAGAAAGTCTGTAACAATGAATTCAAAAATGTAAATTTCAATTTAAGTATCGTGAATTCAAAAGGAAAATCCTACAACGGTCGAGTGGGGTAAAGATCCGGATCGAAAAATCAGTTTCGTCATTTAAAAAGAAAAGAAATAAAAAAAAAGCAAACAAAACTTATCATTTTGCTCAGTCTTTCCCTCTCCTTCAAATTTTGAATCTCTTGTCTCTCTCTCTTTCTCACTCTCTCTCTCTCTCTCACGATCTGTGTCATTTGGAGGAGCCATGGCAGACTCAAAATGGAGTTTCCTTCCCAAATCCGTATCCGCACACTTGAAACCAAACTCGAACCCTAGATCCTCCAAACCCGACATCGAAAACGCTCCTCCTCTCGATCCAAACATCCATATTCCTGGAAAAAAATCTGTTTCTAAATCACCGGCTTTCAGGGATCAGATTGATACTCCCAATCGCCGAGGTCAAGTGTCAGCTTCTCGGGTACGTGAAAATCCCATTTCGAAGTTTCTTACTCTTGTTTGATTTTGAATTGTGGGGTTCATCTAATTTTTTGCTGGGTTTGCGTTTTGTTTCTGTGGAATTTGAACACAAAATATATCAGCGAAGGGGGATAACGGCAATGAAAACTCGCAGTGAAGTAGAAGAAGCCTCGAATCCACATGTAAAGGTACAATTTGTTTCTATTTTTGGGAGAATCCTTGCTCGAGGAAATTAAGAGACTTTGGATCTTTCCTAATTCTGGCCTGGTGTCTAATTAAGTTTTATATCAAGGTTGTGGTGAGGATTAGACCTACAAAAGAGTATTGCTGGACAGTGAAAAAAGTTTCCGAAGATTCATATTGTGTTAGGGATCGCCAATTTACATTCGATTCGATTCTCGACTCAATTCATAATCAGGTTCCGTTTCTCTCTCACTCACATATAACTTTTGTTTTTTATTTAAACAATTCTCAGAAGCCGAATCTGTTTTAAAATTCTTTACTTGTTGATGCCAGGACGATGTATTTCAGCAAATAGGTGTTCCTCTGGTTTGTGATGCATTATCAGGTTACAACACTAGTGTGCTATCATATGGACAGGTACTGAAAAGATTATGCTTTTTGTGGAGCTATGGAGACCAAATTATCACCATAAGACGTTGAAAATATCCACTATTTTTGCATTGATTTGTGATTTTTAGAATGGAAGCGGCAAGACCTACACAATGTGGGGTCCTGCAGGTTCGATGCTTGAGGATCCATCTCCTAAAGGCGAGCAAGGACTCGCGCCTCGAATCTTTCAGATGTTGTTTTCTGAAATCGAGAGAGTAAGTTATGCTTCTTACTCTTACTAAAAGCTTGTGTTAGGTGATGAGACTCTATGGTATCTGGTTCATCAAAGGTCATCACACTTTCGCCAATAATTAGGAAAAGATGAAGTCAGAAGGAAAAGAAGTAAATTATCAGTGCCGCTGTTCCTTTCTCGAGGTGCATTTGCTAAACACATATGAGATATTCTTTTTTTGAGAAAAACCTGCTTCTAGGATTTCCTAAATTATATTGCTTAATGTTTTCCTCAGATATACAATGGACAAATCAGTGATTTGATTGACCAAACCCAGAGAAACCTTAAGGTATGACTTCCCTAATCTACAGTTTTCTTTCTATATGTTAATCTTGCTGAGTGTAAAATTTTTATTGTTTATTGTCTCATATGGCAGATTAAGGATGATGCAAAGAATGGTATTTATGTGGAGAACTTGACTGAGGCATATGTAGATAGCTACGAGGATGTAGCTCAAATTCTGATGAAGGTATGATGTCAGCTTCAAATGATAAAGTTATGAATACTATGTATATTGTTTCACTAGTTTGAAACTGCTATATGCTTTTGCACACTGGTATTCAGCTTCATTGGTGTTGACTCTGTTTTGATTTTCAGGGACTTTCAAGCAGAAAAGTTGGAGCAACTAGCACAAGTTTTCAAAGTTCTCGATCACATGTCATACTATCTTTCATTGTCGAGTCTTGGAAGAAGGTATATTTAATTTTCGATTTTCTTGCGTATTCAAATCTGATGAACAATTGATCAAATATAATCTGCGCACAGGGAGCTACATCAAGGTGTTTCAACACCACCAGAACGAGCAGGATCAACCTTGTTGATCTTGCTGGAGCGGGAACAAATGAACGTGATGCTACTAAACATTGTTTGGAGGAAGAGAAATTCTTGAAGAAGTCTCTTTCGGAGCTCGGGTATAACTTTATGAACTCCCTGTGTTACTCTCGTAGGTCTCAACTAAGAAATTAGTTTTAAAAAAAAAAAAAGACAACAAAAATGAACAACTTAGTGATCTGCTAACATTGTCACTCTTACTGTTGGTGCAGACATGTTGTAGATGCACTGGCGAAAAACGTCCACCCTGGAATATCTGACCGCAGTCTTCATAAAACCTCGTGCTTGACGCATTTATTGCAAGAATCGCTTGGTGGCAATTCAAAACTCACTATCCTGTGCAACATTTTTCCGAGCGACAAGTATTTTCTTCACCTTGTTACCACTTATTAGTTAAATATAAACATTGCTGCCTGATGGTACCAAGTATAAAGATTCAATCAATATAATGACATGTACAGAGAAAATGAGAGGAAACCCAGATCGTGTGTTCTAATAGAGTTTGTTTGTGTTACGCAGAAACACAAAAAGAACAATGAGCACCCTTCGATTTGGTGAACGAGCTAAATCCATGGGAAACAAACCACTGATAAATGAGATATCAGAAGAAGATGTGAATGATTTGAGTGACCAGATTCGTCTTCTGAAGGTTTAATCTCCTCTTCCACCAACCCTTTCCCCCTTTTCGTTCTTTTCATTCAAATATTTATTTGTTTTGCAGGACGAACTTCAAAGAGCCAAAGCTGATGCTTGTCATTCTGTTGGGAGTAAAAATGATCATTTTGGAGCAAAGAATGCACGTGAAAGTTTGAATCAACTAAGAGTTAGTCTTAACCGCTCTTTGATGCTGCCAAAAATTGATAATGACGAGGAAGAGATCACAGTTGATGAGGATGATGTGAAGGAATTGCATCAGCAGATCAAGTCCTTCCGTGGCTCATTCAGTAAGAAACTAAAGAAGCTCCCTGTCAGTAGAGAGTCAGTCAGCTCTTCCTTTGTTACAGCATTCGGCGAATCAGAGCTAATGGATGATGATGAGATCTTTTCAGAAGAAATAGAAGGTGAAGATAAAGATTTGGATGAATTCAGAGAATACAATGACGACATTGCTGCAACAACAATAGATAAATCAACTGAGGAATCCAGAATAAAGAGATTTGCATCGGAAAACAGCATATCAATAAATCCTTGCCGTCAATCCTTAATCTTGCAAGAACCAATCCTATCAGAGTCTCCTAAAATCAGAGACTCTCTAAGGAAGAGCATAGCTCTTTCTTCATCATGTCTCAGGAATCAAAAAAGCATGGCGCAGGGCATAAAATCCGCGTGTCTTGGAGAGAGCCAACATATCAGGGCATCTTTACGCGGAAGCAATATATTCACAGGTTCTACAGAATCTCTAGCTGCAAGTCTGCGGAGAGGCTTGGATATTATTGAAAATCCGCTTAACCTTGCATCAAACCGATGCTCAGTTTCCTTGTCTACTGATAACCTGACCATGCAACCTTCCACAGAGATACTGCAGGATGATCGACTAACGCTGTCATCACTCTGTCCTTCCTGCAGACAGCCTTCTGAGAACAACTGTACTGTTCTTGGCAGCTCTAAATTATCAAGTGTAGTTGAGGGAGTAAGTATATCGAGTGACATAAAGCATGTTTATGGATAGCAATAAAAACTACAGCTATCCCGAAGCTAACATTGTTGGATTCGTTGTGAACCAGGATGGATATCATCAAATGCAAGGGGTTATTGAGAAGCACCAGGAGCTTGAAAATTTGTGCACAGAGCAAGCAGCCAAGATTGAGCAGCTAACACGCCTGGTAAACCAATTTTCTATCTCTTATGTCTATTGAAAATTTGATCATCACATATGGCTAAGCAAGTCTGGTTACTATTTTTTCTTCTTCAGGTAGAGCAACACAAACTTCAAAGTGAGAATGAAAAAGAAGAACTTGTTGGAGCAAGTAATGCAAAACAATCTCCATCAGCGAACAAAAATCAGGTTTGGTTGTTGTCTTATTTACTGTGTGAGAATTATGTATAGTGAAAAGGATCTGAGTGCTTATTGTAAGCATATATCCCAATTTCATGGTTTTGCAGCTTCTCAGCTGTAATGATGTTGTTGAGCGTGACCAAGCAGAAGCCATCATTGAAAAATATGAAGTAAAACAAATCCCAGATGACGACTCCCAAAAGACAAACTTTGGTATTGGCGAGAAGGAGGCGTTACTCAAAGAAATTGAGGATCTGAAAAGCAAATTGCAGAAACCTGTAACAATGTCCACCAACGAATTGAGATCATCTTTGCTGGCCCGTTCGTTTCAACTACGCAACAAGAATGCTGAAAAAGATATCGAGGAAGAACAGCTTAGGTGCACAGAAATGGAGAGCGAGTGGATATCATTGACCGATGAACTCAGAGTTGAGATTGAAACGCAACGCAGGCGCGCAGAGAAAGCTGAAGCAGAGCTTAAACAAGAGAAACTATCTGCTGAGGAGTTAGAGGACGCACTTCAAAGAGCTGTTCTTGGTCATGCCAGGTTTGTTGAACACTACACAGAGCTACAGGAGAAGTACAACGACTTAGGCTCAAGGCATAAAGCAACAGTGGAATGGATAACAGAGTTGAAGAAGGCAGTAGCAAAGGCTGGCAAAAAAGGTTGCGGTTCTCGTTTCGCTAAATCACTTGCTACTGAGCTCTCAGCACTCCGAGTAGAAAGAGAAAGAGAAAGAGATTTGTTGAAGAAGGAGAACCTAAGCCTCAAGATTCAACTAAGGAATACTGCTGAAGCTGTTCATACGGCTGGAGAAGTTCTTGTTAGACTCAGAGAAGCCGAGCAATCAGCATCAGCTGCTGAGGTAACAAACGAGATTTTCATATTTTGAATCGATGAATCGTTGGTGTGTTAGTGTGACATTGTTATCTGAGTTTTGGGCTCCCACTGTGAATATATTTGGTTGCAGGAAAAGTTCAGCGAAGTAGAAGAACAAAACGAGAAGCTAAAGAAGAAAATGGAAAAGCTGAAGAGGAGACACAGGTTGGAAGTGGCAACAATCAAACAAAATCTAAAGCAAAACACATTGCCAGAATCTGCATTACAGCCACCAGGGCCTTTGTGAATATATATATATATATATATATATTTTTTTTTTTTGGGATACTCGTTTACTTTTACTATTTCATTATTTTTTGCTGAATTTCACAATTTAAAAAAAAAATCACGTTCTGTTTGTATTGGTCCATTTATAATTTATGGATATTTCTAATTCTTGATTTTATTTGGGATTTCTAAACTAAATTCTAACAGTTAAGGCAGTAAATCTTTATGAAAAGTCCATTATGGAAGTAAAAATATACATACATGTAAGCAAGGAAACTAGAATCATAGAAGCGATGCTCGTATAGCGTAAGTTGTTCCAATGGATTTATGTTCCGATGGATTATTTAGTAAGTTCCAATGTGCAAACAAAAAAAAAAAACATTTCTTGAAACTCAGAAGCGATGCAGGCTCCTCCACTGGTGATAATTCTTTGTTTCTTTATCTTGTTTTTGTTTTAACTTCTTTCCCAAGAAATTGTCTATAATATTTCATGATCTTTGTCCTCTCCTCTAATGCTACTGCGTAACTTTATGAACAGTCTTGTGTTTTGCTTGTCAAAACTGGACTCCAAGGTTGGCAAAAGATTTGGACTAAAATATTTCAGGACATTGAAGGTAAGCCTCTTTCACTCTTAAGGATCTTCTTATTAATCAAGGCACAAGATTTTGAGAGAAGACTTATTAACGCTTTATTGTTATTCTCAAAACATGATCGATAGGTTTAGCCGTCTCCACTAGTGTCGTACCAAACAGTATGTTGGTGAATTTACATGGCGAAGTTGATGTAACGTTGATGTATTTACATGGCAAAGTCGATCCTTTGGTCTTCATTAAGAAATTATATAAAGCGAGAACTTGCACTATGCTCTACAGAATGGATTATGGATATGAAGAGAATCCAGAAGGAACCCGGAAACCAAATAATCACTTCATGGTTTTATATATCTCACAACTTCTCTTCTTTTCACTACTTGCAACACTACGTAATGGCTTTTAAATTTAAAAAAAATGTGTTATGTTTTTGGCTTTTGCAGAGATACAGATTCGAACTAAACACATTAGAAGAAGGTTGGGATAAGAGAATCATAGGAGCTTTGAAGACCATCCAAGGTCCACAAATTTTCTCTAGATCATCAACAAATTTTTGGAAAAATGTTTTAGTTTTTTTTTCCTTGATTCGTGGGTTTCGTTTCAGGTGTGTCATTTACCATAGATGCACCAACCGAGATGGTATATTTATGTGGGAACATTGAAATTGGAGTACTCATGAAGATGCTAGTGAAGACAGGCATCCATCTGTTGACAATGGACTATGGAGTTGAGTATAAAGATCCAAATTTGAAGCCACCACCCAATAAACTTGAGGCTCCGGCAAATGAAACCGAGACACAGCCCACGCAAGACACATTGCCTCCTCCTCCTCCTCCTCCTGAGGCTGTAAGTACATCAACGAAACAGCAAGCCAAATACAAGAAGCCTGGCGGTTTTAGAAGGTTTTGTTGGTTTCTGTTTTAAATGGATCATGTTTTCATGTACAACACATGTCATTGTTTTGGATACCAAATAAAGGATCATGAAAGGAAAATCCATTCTGAAAACACAAACACACATTACACAAAATCCCACTGATCATCATGTTATCATCTTACCCTAATTAGTAAATATTTTTAATATTTTCAAGAATGATTAGTAATAACTTTGTATCTATTCTTGTTTGAGCTACATTGTTGATGCTACTTTTCTATCAATGAACTCTCAAATTTTTGAATTTTGGAAGGAAAAATCTTCAGGGAATAGGTGAACCAACCAAAGTGAAATCACTTACTAACTTTCGCGGCTCTGGTGTACACACATAATAAATGGCTAAAAATTTGGAGAAACTTGATTTTGATTTAATTGGAAGATGATCACGTTAAGATTCCGGTATCCACCTTCTTTAAGCTGTTTTCAAGCTTAAATCACTGCAGTACATACATAAGGTAAAAAACCAAAATAACTCGTAAAGTTGGAATCAATATGCTCCATTTTTCTCTATCTCCTTCATTCCTTATGAAGAATAGATATATCTTTTCACTTTCAATGTTGAATTTCTCTATGTATGGAATTTCCAGTACCAATCAACCACATGGGACTAGCTATGTAATGACATACATGTTCTTCTTTCTTCTCATATAATTAACAATGTTAGCGTGCAAGCCAAACAGCTTCCTATCCGCTCCCAACGTGCCCTGATGCTACCATCAATGAATCCATATAACCTTCACATGAAGTATCAAAACTTACAACGAGAGATAAGCTGTTTTGCATTGTGTGTTAAGTTATTTAATTGCTTCAAAAAATCAATAACGTGATTGACTTAATAATTAATCCATAATCCCTTACACTATAAATATGGTATCAACATTCCAGTTTCAAAAAAGATTAAACCAAATCCAAAGATGGAAAGTCAAGAAGCTCTCGTTTACACTCTCATTTCCATCCTTTTCTTTCTCCAAATCTTGTTTTGGAAATTACTATGGACTCGTTACATTACAGTTTTGTCTACGCCGCAGCTGACCCGCCACCTTAATCCAACCAGCCACACTCTGACGGCTGAAAGCAATGAAACTGAGTTCATGTCTTATATGCTCCGTAAGTCAAAGTCCGTCAATAAAGCACTAGACGAAGCCGTTCCTCTCTGCGAGCCAGTACTCAAGATCCGTGAAGCCATGAGGTACACGCTTCTCTCGGACGGAAAACGCGTAAGGCCAATGCTTTGCTTAGCTGCATGCGAGCTCGTAGGCGGCCAAGAGTCCACCGCAATGCCCGCTGCTTGTGCCATTGAGATGCTACACGCTTCATCTCTCATCCAAGACGACCTCCCTTGTATGGATGATGACAACCTTAGACGTGGAAAACCCACCAACCATAAAGTCTTTGGTGAAGGTATAGCCGTCTTGGCCGCTGATGCACTCATAGCTTTGGCTGTGAAGCAGATAGCCACATCATCAACCTCCTCTCCAGAGAAGGTTCTCCGTGCCATTTTGGAGATGGCAAAAGCTGTGGGAACGGAAGGGCTCGTTGCCGGTCAAGCGGCTGATCTTGCCGGAGAAGGGATGAGTTTGGAGGAAAACGATGACGTGGGATTGAAGCATCTTGAGTTTATACATATTCATAAAACAGCGGCCATGCTTGAAGCGGCGGCTGTTATAGGAGGTATAACGGGAGGTGGGTCTGATGAAGAGATTGAGAGACTTCGGTGTTACGCGAGATGCATTGGGTTAATGTTTCAGGTTGTGGATGATGTGCTTGACGTTACGAAGTCGTCGGAGGAGTTGGGGAAGACCGCCGGTAAAGATTTGATCGCCGGGAAGCTAACGTATCCCAAGGTGATGGGAGTGGAGAAATCGAGAGAATATGCAGAGAGGTTGAACAGAGAAGCGCGGGAACATCTTCAAGGGTTTGATTCAGACAAGGTGGCACCTTTGTTGTTTCTCGCTGATTACATTGTCAACAGACAAAACTGACGTGACAAAGTACAATTCCTCAAGGAGGTTGGTTAGTCAATGACAGATAAATGTGTTCCATGAAAATGCACAAGTGAAGTATTACAATGATATGGGTTTCAGACTATGTAGTTAAATAAAGTTGTTTAGGTAGAGGGAGAAAACTACAATTTAAGTACGCAGATCTAGGAAAAAATTTCTAGAGACTCCTAATTAGATGGCTTCAGCCTCTTCGACCACCATGTCCTCTATTACCTCGCTCACCTACCATAGTCCATTGCATTTTTTTGAATTTTTTGTGTGAGTTTTATATTGGTCTTCCTCCTCAAATTCTCAGAGATGTGTCATCCATCTCAAAACCTGAATAAACTCCCGAGTCTTGAATTTATCAAATGTACTCGCTTCATAGAAATTAACGTTCGATTTATAATCTCAAATTTTCATATTATTATTTACTGTGTTAAATGTTGATACATATCCATATACGCGAACCAAAACGTTTTGCGGTATCCATTTCGACAGATGATAATATATTACTTCAGCAAATTGCCATTTGATAAATAATATTATGAATCTTAACATGTAGCAAGTTTTCCTAATATAATATTACTAGTTGATATTAATTAGCGTTATCAGTACCTTAAAAATTTCGAGAACGTGATTTGATTCGGAGATGAGCACGTTTAATTAAGATTCCATTTTCCACTGTCTTTTGGCGTCTTTTTAAGGTTTTTTTTTTTTTTTTTTTTTAAGGTTATGTTTTCTAATAATAAATATGTACGTACAGAAACAAAACCTCATACCAGAGTTGGAACCTTAAAATCACCTTAGAAGCTGTAGTGTTTCACTCTCAATCTTCATCTTTCTAGCTCCTCTATTGCGTTTCTTGTTTTAAATCATGCGATCACGTAACAATGCGTTTACTGTTGCGCTTGCATCTTTGTCACGTCTCCACCATCGCAGAGTCTTGACTGCCCCAAACCCAAGTGAGAGCTTTGATTTCATCTCCTATATGGCCAATAAGGCCAAATCAATCAACAAGGCACTAAACGACGCCGTTCCACTCCGTACCAACCCATTAGTACTCAAGATTCGCGAGGCGATGAGATACTCTCTGCTCTCTAACGGCAAACGTGTCAGGCCATTGCTCTGTCTCGCAGCATGCGAGCTCCTAGGTGGCCACGAGTCAACCGCTATGCCCGCGGCTTGCGCGATCGAAATGATCCATGCATCGTCGCTTATCCAAGACGATCTCCGGCGGATCTTGCCGGAGAAAAGATGATGAGTTTGGAGGGAAACGATGACGTGGGCTTGAAGCATCTTGAGTTTATACATATTCATAAAACGGCGTCGTTGCTTGAAGCTGCGGCAGTTATGGGAGGTATAATGGGAGGTGGTTCTGATGAAGAGATCGAGAGACTTCGAAGTTATGCGAGATGCGTTGGGTTGATGTTTCAGGTGGTGGACGATGTTCTTGACGTGACGAAGTCGTCGGAGGAGTTGGGGAAGACCGCTGGTAAAGATTTGATCACCGGGAAGCTGACGTATCCGAGAGTTATGGGAGTGGAGAAGTCGAGAGAATATGCTGAGGAGTTAAATAGAGAATCACGAGAACATCTTCAAGGGTTTGATTCAGATAAAGTGGCTCCTTTACTGTCTCTCGCTGATTACATTGCCAATAGACAAAACTAATGTGGCAAATTGCTATTTACTTTTATATTTTAAAAAAGTTACTAATGCTCAAAAGCTTGATACAAATTAATGTATTCAATAGAGAGGATAATACTTAATTAATGGCCCAGTGGCTTTCACTTGTCCATGTGATTAAGTCATGCGGTTCTTTGACTCTTTTTTTTTGGTTCTTCTATTTCTGTTGTCTAAGATTTCCCCTTGTTTATATGTGACGTGTCTAACTATCCTTTTGTTTTTCGTCTTGAACATATTGTTCTTTTTGTTTCTCCATGTTCAAAGTAGGATAACTAAAGTCTATCAATTTGTACTATTCATTTGACATGACATTCTGAAAGTTTACTAGATGAAACTGTAAAGAGCAAAAAAAGTAATGAATGATGAAAAAAAACAAGTGATATTAACTGATTTAGCTTATACATTTTGGTTCGCATTTCTATATTTGGTTTCAATCAAATTTCAATTTTGTGCCCACTCTATATCTGAAAACATTGTTTTTTTTGAAAGTCCAGTCTAGTTTGGAGCCTTTTCAACATTATAGATTGAAAACAAAAGCATCTATGAGCTTCTCACTTTCTTTTCCTATAAGGCTATAATCAATTTGGATTTGGGATATTGTGTATTTGCCGAATAATGCCACGACCAGCTCCTGCTTTGCAGGTAGACCTACTAATTACTTTTTATCTTCCTCTCTAAACTCCTATATATAAACATTTTTTTGTTTTCTGATTTAGTACTAATTTCTAACAAAACTCAAAAAGTTTCCCATTTATCACATTCATGTTTTTTCTTTTGTTGGAAATTTGTTATGGGTGTGTAGCTTATATTACATTTTTATTCAAATTTATAGCTTTTATATTGTAGATTTATTTGAGTGTGAATGTTATTTATAACTAGATTTTACCCCGTGCATCCGCACGGGAATTTTGTTTTAATCAAAATTTATTTTTTCTTTATAAATATAATTTTTTAATAAGTGCTATAAAAAGAATTTGTGTTTAGATATATATATTTTTTCAGTATTATTATGACCATCATGATCATAAAAATATAATTTAAACCAGATTATTTTATTAATTAAAAAGTAACTGTTATTATAAAAATATATTTCTAACTCGCTCATTTTATTAATACAAAAAATCATGTTTATAATACCATAATTCTAATCCGCCCGTTTATATTACTTTATAATATAATTATTACTAATTTTAAAATAATTTTCTCTTAATATCATCCATGCTTTCATAACCTAACAAAAAAACTTAACTTGTCCCATCAAATTATTATATAATATTAATATTTATCTATTTTTAATATGTGAAATTTTAATCTGATAGAATATGATTAAAAAATATAATAAGATATTTTTTAATCATATGTGTCATTCTGAAAATTTTATTTAAATTTCAAATATTAAATTAAATCTAACCTATATTTAAGGAAATCTATTTAAATTAATATCTATAGAATATAGATATAACCTATATTTAAGGAAATTTTTAGTTATCTAAATTAATATCTAACTTTCGAAATTAAATTTATATATATATAAAATATTTTTAAAAAAACTTTAAGAATGTTTGGAAACAAACACTAAATTTGCTTCTATTTTAATATAATAGATTAAACACAACTCCGCATGCTTATAGGAAAACCTAAGCATAAATTGTCTACAACGAACGCATCCGAGTATTTTTTTAAGTAGCTATTAATTATGTCTCGTCTGTTGAAAAATAGAGTGGGTTTGACTGCTTCATCTTCTGCAACCAGTTAAAGTTTGATTCTTCAAAACGGAAAATTAATTTTGTGATCCGAGTACATACACAATCTGGGGTACAACTAACTGTAAACAAGAAAGACAAGCTCCTCACTATTCACAAAAATTACTTTTCTAAAACATAACTCCTGATGCGAATCTAGACTCATCTACTCTTCGTGGTAAGTAATAGTTTGCTACTGAATGAGTTTAGTTAGAGGGTTCTTGGGTCTACAATATATTTTCATAAATATTATGTGAAGGCTTACTCTTGGCAATTTATGTATTGCGGACGCTCGTCTCTCTTGGTCAAGTGAATATGTGTTATTATTAAATGGCATAAGTGTAGTTGTATATATTAAAGTGTCTCCGATCCGTCATTTTGAGTAACATGGGTAAACATTAACTTCTACCTGCAAAGCATGAAAAAAAAGAAGTAATTATAGCGTTTTGCATGTATTTGGCTATATATAGATGATGGTTGATAAAAAAAAAAATGTTTTTATGAATATAAGCATCAACTGTTAAGGAGTAAATGCAAGGGTAACCAGTTGTTTGTTTCTACTACTTCTCAACTTCAATCAACCACATGGGACTAATTAATGAGATATATGTTCTTTTCGTTTGTTAAAAATGTTAACGGCCGGCCAATCCAGCTTTCTCTCGACGCTGTAATCTATGAATTCATGTAACAAAATTCAACTAGGGATAAGCTTTTTTTTTTTCCACTTTGTGATAAATTCATTGAATCTCTTCAAGAACCAAATACATGAGAATAATTTATTTATTTAACCCTATTCCCTTCCACAAACTCTCCTATAAATGTAGTATCAGCATTCCAATTTTAAAACACATCAAACTAAAGCCAAAGATGGAAACTAAAAAAACTCTTGTTTACATTCTCATTTCCATCTTTCTCTCTGTCAAATTCTTGTTTTGGAGATTCCAGCCTCGTTACACTAAAGTTACGTCTGCATACAGACTGACCCGTCACTTTAACATCCAAAGTCTAACTTCGGTCACACGCAATAAATTTGACTTCATGTCTTATATGGTCAATAAGGCTAAATCCGTCAATAAAGCACTAGACGAGGCCGTTCCTCTCTGCGAGCCAGTACTCAAGATCCGTGAAGCCATGAGGTACACGCTTCTCTCCGGTGGAAAACGAGTAAGACCAATGCTTTGCTTGGCTGCATGCGAGCTCGTAGGCGGCCAAGAATCCACCGCAATGCCCGCTGCTTGTGCTATTGAGATGCTACACGCTTCGTCTCTCATCCAAGACGACCTCCCTTGTATGGATGACGACAACCTTCGACGTGGAAAACCCACCAACCATAAAGTCTTTGGAGAAGGTATAGCCGTCTTGACCGCTGATGCACTCATAGCTTTGGCTGTGAAGAAGATGGCCACATCATCCACATCCTCTCCAGAGAAGGTACTCAGGGCCATTTTGGAGATGGCAAAAGCGGTGGGAACAGAAGGACTCGTGGCGGGTCAAGCGGCTGATCTTGCCGGAGAAGGTATGAGTTTGGAGGAAAATGATGACGTGGGATTGAAGCATCTTGAGTTTATACAT